TTTCATTTTCTTTTTCATTTCTAACTTTTAACTTTGTAATTTTAAAACTTTAATAAAATATAAAAAAAGAAAAGAAAATAATGGTTATAACTTGTCTAAGTCCTGTATTCAGACAACATACTAAGCAACAAACCAGCCAACCTTATTTAGTCTAGTGCAGTGTTTCTCAGCCTTGACAGCTTGAAGATGTGTGGACTTCAACTCCCAGAATTCCCCAGCCAGCCTTCATTCTGGGAGTTGAAGTCCACACATCTTCAAACTGTCAAGGTTGAGAAATGCTGGTCTAGTGTGTTCTTTATTACCAGTCCATGTGGGCAATTGCTCTAGATTCCATGCAACCCCAGAACATTGGGCTAATTGAGCATTAGGGTTAAATTAACCATGGGTAAGTGTTGTGCAAATACAGCTTTAATTCCTTATGGCAATGGAAATATCAGTGTTAAAGGTATTAATTCCTAAAGTAAAATTAATAAGAAATTAGTTGAGAAAATTACTTTTATTGTGATTAATGAATCATGGTATGACTGTGAGGTGTCCAACCTAATAACCTCCAGTTGTGCTGGACTCCAATGCACAAAATTCCTAGCCAGCATACCCACTGGCTATGTTGACAGGGAATTAGAGAGTTGCAGACCAATTTATTCAGAGGTGACAGTTTGGTATAGTTGACCTACTTAGGGATTGACAACTAATCCTAATACCAGAGGGAAAAATGTAAAGTAATGGTCCAAATTTTGCAGGATCATTGATCTCACCACCAATATCTTAAATGAGAAGATAAGGTTTGCTTTGCTATTTCATAAGATTTGAGCAGTCTTACCTGATTTTTTGATTTACCTGAAATAAGACAATAAAAATAAAAGTACAAGCGTGTGTGTTTATGTATTTATGTCTTTAGCTGTTTATTTATTGGCTGTGTAGTCCTGGAGAAATTGTTACAGGGCAAATGCCTGAGTGGACAGATACCCTTTAGTTAAGCAGGACAGTGGGGCCATACTTTCTTCATGTGGGAGTTTCAGAATTGGATACAGTTGCTAAGAACACCTTACCCTTAGACTCTGCTCTGTAAATCAAGATCTGGGGGATCTTATGGGATCATGTGCAGAACCTCTCCATCTAATCTGAATATACTGGTGGTTTGGGGAGAGACTACTTTTTAAATACCTGAGTCTTAAATACCTTGGCAAGCTCATTAGGTTTGGGCTGTTTAAAAAGATTTAAATTTAATCTGTGGTGGCAGATGCCATTTGAGAGTATCAAGGACACCATGGTGCCTATACTGTAAGTACTGTTACCAACCTCCAATTTAGCTGTATATAAAACCTCTGATTTACTGTACATAGAAGATAGTACACAAAATTAGGAATTGTTGGAGAGTGAGTTAAGGTAGTACGGTATTCTGTTCAGGCAGAGAATTAACTTTGTTAAACCTTGATGATTGCATCCGACTTTACACATGTAAATTAGAAAGCGAGATGATCTGTTAATGCAGCTTAGCAGAGGTGCCTTAAAAAGAGCAAACTAATTCTCCACATTGGTCTGTTCAGGGTCATTCCTAGACCCATAAAAGCTGAGAGTGAGAAGAGCAAACCCCACAGCTATGTTGATTCAAATACAACAATAGAAGGGTACCCTATGCATAAACCATTATCATATACCATTTAATAACAGACAATAAGAAGTCCATAGTATTATAATGGTGCTATAATGCTTAAAAGAATCATACCACTGGAAAAGGTCTTTCCACAACTTGCATAACACGGCTGTCTCTTGGATTTGGGACAGGTGGCCAGCATGATTTCCTTGATCTGAAAGTCCAAATTTGGTTGGAAACATGAAAATGATGTTCAGTTCTTAAACACCTTAAACCTTCTGCCAGTTTCATAATGAGTTCAGTATTATCTGGATATACAACTGAGTACCTGGCAGAAATGACCTTTTGGCCAAAGCATTTAGAATGGGCTTATCTGAGAAAAACCAACAAGCAGATGCAATTTACATGCTGTAAATATCCATTTGTGGAGTTGGTACAGTTTGTAAAAGAAACTCCTAGCTAAAGTTGTCTGAAATATACTTTTTAAGGATACAGGGTGTTTTTTTTTTCCTGCATAATCCCTAACACACAGCAAACGCTGTGGGAACTAGGAGTTCCCAGGAAGGTTGCATTTATTCAATGTATTACTATATTTATTACAAACATTCAATTCTTTTTATGTGTCACACTGCATCTTGTTACAAGGTTGTATAAACCAACCGGCAAACGCTATCTCTGCTCAGTTGCTCACAATGGTTTTCCTGTTTACACTTTATTTATTATCAAGCACTTGATACTTATTTTTTGTCTTATTAAAATATTTATTTGATAATTCAAGGTGTTAAAATAGTTTTACATTTTACTGGTTTACATCAGTGTTGTCCAAACTTGGCCACTTTAAGATGAGTGGACTTCAACTCCCAGAATTCCCCAGCCAGCATGGTCTACATGGTCTTTTAAACAGCAACTAGTAAACAAACGATAGTTAGGGAAACTCTGCATTTCAGGGTTTCTGAAAATTCTAATCTGCCAGCAGAGAACTAGATGTGGCTTTGCAAGCTTTCTCATGGGAATACAATAATCACCTTTGCCCTTATTTTTGCTGGCACTCTGGGTACAAAAGGAGGAACTCCAGAAATTCGTTCAGGCAACAGACGTTTGGATGTGCGGGATCCAAAGGCCTCCCATTGTCCCAGCGTGCCCTCAGGAAGGAAAAAATATGCCCTGGCCACTATCCTTACTGCCCTTCCCATCATTCTGAATGGGAAATCTCAAAGCAACAGGAGAAGGGAAAGAAGAAAAGGGGGAAACTTGTTTTTGCATGACCCTAGCAACAGTTCATTTGCAATGGATTATCGCTGCCCTTCTCCCACCCATCGTATTGGACCTCCTTTTGGACACCCCTACTTGGACCAACATCCCACTGAGTTCAGTACTGCTTAATCCCAGATAATCCCAGTTCATTAGGTTACTTTAATTCTTATCTTCTGCAGAGACAGACTGGCTTGGCAAAAAGGTAGCAGTGAGTCCATGGAGAAGATGAGCAGAACCCTGTTTTCCTTCGGTTCATGATTAAAAAGGTTTTGCACCATTTTTGACTCCCATGGCTTTGGATTGCTAATTAACACGAGTTGAATTAAAAACATGCCAAGCAATTAAAGTATTTCTAGATCATGAAAACAAATTACCGTTTCAGTACTAAGGAACAAATTGTGACAATAATAGCTGGGGTTATTATGGTGCCAAGACAGAGACCAACAACCATTCCTTCAAATTCTCCTTGATCTAAGAAGAAATAAACAACAGAAAAAATTGAACACGGACGGACTCAACTGTGAACATAGAAAGGGGGGGGGGGGGCCAAAATTTACAGTTTTCAAAACTATTACATTGTGAGGTTTTTGAAGTTTAGACATAATGAAAGTGAAGTAAACATAAACATTGTTCCTTGGGCTGCCAAGAAAGAACCAATAGAAAAGAGAGATAATGGCTGTCTGCCATCTGCTGAGGACAAGACATAATCTGATGCGTGTCATAAACAAACTTTCTTAAGTGAAAGACTGAACAAGAGTTTGATTTGAATTGGAAAATCAATTAGAAAATGTATAACATTCTCTCAACAACCTACCTATCCTCAATTGTGGAAAAGCTCTGTAACCTTTACCTAATAACTTTCTTCCATAACTTCAGTTAGGAGATGCAAGTTTGGCTGTCACTTCAGACTTGGCCAAGGTTGCCAAGAAAGTTCTGATATGGACGGCAGGCGACATTTAGGAGGGAGAAGCACTTCGAGCTGCACTCCTCGATCTACTTGTCCCTCTAAACTGGGTTCTTAGTTCATGACTTTACCTTGTGATGTTAGATTTTCAGAGCAGCAAATTATATCACTAGATTAACAATATCAAGTGTGTTAATATTGTGTGTATTTTGTATTAAGTGCAGTGCTGAATGTACGCTCAAATCTCCAGCCACTTTTGATCATTTCTCTTTCCATCTATTTCTACCTCTCCCCTGTCTATAAGGCTGTTCTATGGCCAATGAGCATGCTCAGTCTTTATTGCCTTGCTTTCATGGGTTTCTCCCTTTAGAACAGGGTTCCTCAACCTTGGCAACTTTAAGATGTGTGGACTTCAACTCCCAGAATTCCCCAG